ACTTAATAATATTAAAAGCTCTTCTAGTCATTCCCAGGGCACAAATGAAAATGCTTTTAAATTATTAAGAAAGAATGTGACTTATTCAGGACAATATGTAAGGAGAGAGTGATAAAATGAAGTAGTTCATTTCAGTCCTTTACTTTGGACCAAGTAAACTACTATTAGGAAAAGAAACAGCTTCATGGAGAGTTGCAATATTTTATTACTAATTGAATTGGAGTTTGTTTTGGAGAGTTGGCAGTTAAAGTAGTTGAGGTTGAGATGAACAATTCATAAAAGTTAGGGGCCAGTTTCTTTCAAGCATCTTGTTGTTCTTACTCTTAAGAAATTTGGACAAAGTGGTGACAAATAAAAAAGAAAACTGAAATCTGATCAACTTTGAGTTTTTTCTAAATAAACTTGGTGCCTGCCACATGGTAAGCATTGAATTAATATTTGCAAATTGAGTAAATAAAGCATTAGTGGATGTTTCTTAGGGAGTATGTATACCTTTCTTTAAAATATTGGTGTTAAGAAATGCATGGTTTCACAAGACGTGACCTAAAAGCAATGATTTTATGGTTTGAACTGACAAGAATCTGCTACTCTAGTATATTATTTAATTTCATTGCATCAAAGTAAGGTAACATTAATTGCTTTACTTGTGTTTCTATTTTTGCTTCTTTATTTTTCTAGAGTGATAAAGGGGGAATAATATGTAAGATGCCAAATAGAGTTCTGTTTGTCAAATTGAGATTTGAACTGATCTCTGATACAGAAGTTTCATTAACATATGTGAATACCATTTGTTGACTTTCATTGACCTTAACATTGATACAAAGAAACTTTTCATTACAAATTCATTTTACATGGATACCCAAAATTAACACTCTAGGATAATAGTTAAAAAGCAATCGCCTTGCTTCTGGTAGCAAATCTGGGGGGAAAAAGTAATTACTATTAATTGTGCTGTTCTGGATTCTATAAACTTTATTTTGAATATGCATTTAAGGGTTTATTAACACACTTGAGCAGAAGCACAAATACTGTAGTATTTTGGATTTCACAGTTTCATGCCTACTATGAAAGCAACCTCTCTACCTAGTCCTTCCCTCTTTGTCAAATCATCTTATTCCTTATCATCCAATCTGTGAGTTCTAAGTGGATAATATAGATAGCTTTCATTAGTATTCCAAAGGAGAGTTCTTGCATCAAGTATAATTGGTGCCATCCACTAAATCAGTGGATTAGAAATGGGGGGTTTTTTTTTTTTCTGTACTCCTTCTATCCTTTCTTTAAATTCTATAGATCTTGAAAAAAAAAAAAAAAACAGTGATTGATGACATAGCATCTCAAACATGAGTTCTAATCGTTTCATAAATGAACAGAAAGATTTTAGGATCTAATCTTACTTACTAGTTACTATGGTTTCAAATAAAGCATAGCCAATTTATTATGCATTAATACTAAAGTAGAATGTACCGGGTCTCCATCATGAGAGGTGTTTTACTAGTCATTTTCATAATAAAAATTATTTGAAATTTAAAACAAATAGAGCTATGAAAATGACAAAATCCAATATAGCCCTCAGAGAGGAGGTGATTTTCCCAGAGTAAATGAGTAAGAATTGATAACTCCCAATATCAGTGCATATCTCTTCTCCTATACCATCCTGATTCTATGAAATGAGGTAAGAACATGAATCATAGGTCCTTCCATAAGGCCCATAAACCAGTAAGGTAAGTTCACACTCCCTTGTTAGTGCAGTAATGCCTGGAAAGAAGTATAATGTAATGTTTAAAAAAATGATATTGGGTCATCAGCGCTGACTGGCTGTGCATCCTTTGGGCAAATTACTTCACATTCGTTTTTTTAGCTTCCTCTGTAAAATAAAAAGTAATAATTTTTTCCTCACAAGTTTGTTTTGGTTATCAAATAAGATAATGCAGTAGAGGGCTTAAACAGGTCTGGCACATAGTAGGTACTCAGAAAATGTCAGCTCTTAAATTATGATCCTTTCCTCAGATCCCCAGACAGTCTTTTCTCATACCTACTATTTAGTCATTCTCTTATTTCTGCAGTCTTCTTTTCCTCTCCCTACTTCGGTTCCTGCATTCTGAACATTTACTGGAGGTTAGAATCTCCTAATCACAATTTTAACCATATTATTATGTTCACCTTTTAGTAATTACACAAAACACAAGAAGATTGAAAAACAGGCATGATTAACCCTTTCAGAATAAGTGCATTTCTTCTGTGAGTATTAGTATAGTATATCATCATGAAATTGAAATATTAAAGTTCTAGAATTTTGACTTATTGTTTGCCTTTTATGGGGAGCGCTAAGAGGAAATGTTGCTAGATATTTATTAGTACTATCCACCTGGAGGATGACATCCACCAAGTTCTACATAAAGAAAATCAGCCATCATCAATGCTCTTGTGAGATACCATGATAACAATGGTATATAAGATGTCCAAAAGAAAGCATCATCACTTTGACTTCAAAACTGAAACACTTCAAACATTTTCTTAGGGACTGTGCTGTATATGAGCATTTACTCAAAAAGTAAGCCTGAAAAAAATGAACTAGGTGGAACTTGCTTTCAGGACCTATTCCAGCCCCATTGTCTTAGAATCATTGCTCTTTTCTGATCCGCATGCTTATGCGGCTTTCCAATCCTGAGTATCCACATTCTGTAGCTCTTGTAATGTCACTGCCCTTGCAGCCAGCACTCTCCAGCCAGTGTTCTGATCGCCAAGGTAAGCTGGACAGGCCTGTTATTAAAAACAACAAACAATGAAAGAAATATTTAGGAACAGACAGAGCCTTTCCTCTGGTTTCTTATACAATCTATCATTCGGTACGATTTATTCCATTTCAAAAAATAAAACATCTTAGTACAACTCCTTATCTCCATTTCTCTCCAAATCTCCAGTTCAGATTCATATAGTCTCTTGCTAGGATGCCTGCAATAATCTCCAACTGGACTCCCATCTTCCAATCCAATATGTACACTGTCATCAGTCTGACCATGACATTTCTATGGCAACTCGCAAGCACCAGATTAAGGATTCAGTGAGATGTTAAAAATGCTTCACTTTTAAGGACCAACACAACTCTTCAACATCATACTTGTTCCTAAACTCTGTCCTCTAGCCATAAAGCAAATGTGTCTGTCATTTTCAATAAAAGACTTCATTCATTCGTTCTCCTCCTTCTGAGTGATGAATTTCTATTCACTCTTCTAGGTCCAGTTCTAATGCCACCTCTTTGAGGACACCTTGGTTCCCTCCTGATAAGGCGAACTTTCTTTAGCATGACTTAGACTTTTTTTACATGTCTCTATTAGTGGCAATGTTAGATTATTCTATATTCATCTTTCACATGTCTTCCTGAATCAGTCTGTTAGATTCTTGAAAACAGACACTAATCTTATTCAATTTTATATCATCAGTGCCAAGCGTAGGACCCTGTGAATAAACACACCATAGAGGGAGCCAGTGGTCTGTTTTTGTGTGGAATCAGCCTTTTACACAGTTGCATAGATTGGACTAGAGAAGCTTTTCTTCCTTTTTTTTTTCTTCATTAAACATTTATTGAGTACCTTGTGTGTTCCGGGTTCTACGTGAGATGTCAAGCACATTGAAAATAATAAAACATTGCCTTTGTCTTAGAGGTGCTCTCAATTTTAATATAAATGAAAAACAGTAAAGTAATAATATAATTTTGGTACCAATAGGTTAACAGGAACCCCTTCATGTTTAAATTGGATTTTCTCTGTTGAATATCTTATTTGTAAATTGAAGATGTTGGTCTAGATGATGACTGAGGTCCAGCGTTTGAAATAAGTGCAAATGATCACCTCCACATTGTGCCCTGACACTTTAGCATGTGTGATAGCTATTGGTAGAACCTCCTCAAAGTATCTTAGTAGTTCCAGGTGAATGGAAGCTGACATGGAGCATGACTTGAGGGTAATGTCATTGACCTGAGGGTTAGGACCCTGGATTCTAGTTTTAGCTCTGCTACTGATTAGCTATGACCTTGGGCAAATGATTCAGTCTATTGGATATCTTATCTGTAAATAGAGGATGTTGGTTGGTCTAGATTCTAGATCAATGGCTCTCAACCAGGAGTTCATCACAGGATTTAAGTAATATGTATATATATATTTAGTTCTCGCTAAAGAGTCACTGAGTTAGAATCGAATCTCCCAGGATGAGGCCAGGCTATGTGTATTTAGCAAAAAACCTTACTGATGATTCTAAGAGGCTCTGACCTGAGCTATATCTGCTCTTGATGATATCTCGATATCTGAGGTCTCTGGAGGCCCCCACCCTGACTGAGACATGTAGACTCTAGGCCTACTGTAGTCTTTATCCTTTAATAGGCTGTGAGAACCAGGAACATTGTTTCATGAAACAATCAGATCAGTAGCTGACATCATAGGTCTTCCTGAAAGAGAGGAAAGAGATGCAGAACAAAGATAAGACAAAAAAAAAAAAAAAAAACCCAAATACTTGTGTGATGCTGATAATCACAGCCAGCCCCAAGGCTATCCACAGCTTCTTGAACTTTAAGATGGACCCAGGAATTCTGATGCCCTGACTCCCATATTCTCTGACTGAGGTACAAAGATCTGCGTGAGCTAATGCATCAACCCATGAAAAATGAAAAATTAAAACAATGAAATTGTCAGTTCTTTTACCAGATTGCAAATAAATAACCTGCCTGTCAGGCTGGCTGCTCTGCTATAATACAAAGACATTCTGAGGAATGGGTGGATGACAGCTGATCTATCACCAGGCTTTTGATAAAGACCTGAGCAAAATATACTGTCATAAACCACCGAAGGTCAACCCCAATTTGTGAGAAGCAGAGTATTAAATGAAATTTGAATACACCTCTCTGCCCATCATGAAAAATATAGGCTTTGTTTGTTTGTTTGTTTTAACTAGTACAATGGTAGGTACTTGTGATGATCTAAAACATTTCTCTGCTTATGCTTATTTAGGTTGTCAGGGACACTGCAGCTGTAGATGGCCTCGGAGGTTATAACTGTCACAGTGGAGACACTGTGATCTTAGGATTGCTCAATGTATCTTCTTGCCAGGCTAGACAGGGTCTTTACACAAAAAGTTTCTCTATATAGTTAGTTCAAATGCTAAGACAGTCATGGAATTCCAAACAAAAAGTCAATTCATTGCATTTTCTTGTATTTATGACTTGAATTCTATATACCATCTTATGAAATGTTTGCCAGCCAGAAAGATACATTGGTCATGGAAAATAATTACATAAGACAGTAGATAAGACAATTAAAGACAAATTCAGTAAATTTTCTAGTTGGTGCTTCATTTATCTTTAAATCTTAGTGGGAAAAATAAAGTTATGAAGCACTTTTCAGAAGTCACCTTGAAGAAGATAATTCTTATTTCTTAGAAGTAAAAAGAAGCATTAGAAAATTTACCCTATAGTAAAACTAGGCGCGGGGCAGTGTTTATGAGATGCTCAGTGCTTGTCTTTCAAACTGACTTTGTCTTAGCTTGAATCTAGGCAAAGCTGACTCCTTGATTTTTAATAAAAATAAATAAAACACCTGGGAAGCCAACAAATCAAAAATACAATTTTCCCTTTCCAAAATCTTTTGGGTATTTATATTCAGGTTGTATCTTCATGGTCAGAGTGATATAATCCTACCTAAATCAAAAATAGTCACTGTCAATCTATTCTTATTTTTGAGTACATCCACAGTTAGAGTAAAATGTAGCTTTCATATGGAGTGGCAGCTGAAATCTATGCAGAAACCACACAAGGAGGTCATTTGGTTTCCCAGAATGATTTCAACTAGGAAGAAGCATCAGCTTATTACTTTCAACTGGTTTGACCAGTTCTTCTGGTGGGCTGGAAGGCTAATTAGTAAACAAGGTGAACAAGAAATTTTCAGTATAAAACTTTCCAGGCCAATTTTCCTAATAAGTTATACGATGGCTTTGTTGTCCAGCTTTGTAATCCCTTCACAGTTATATAATAGTTATGCACCTCCCAATTCTTAAGAAGCAGCCCTGAGAGAGTGGAGAAAAAGTTCAGAGCTCATCTTGAGGGCACTGTGGTTTTGTTTCTAGTTTTGTCAGTTATTATCTATCATTTTGGCAAGTGGTTCAATACTTGCTTATCTTATTATGTGCACAATAACACCTGCTTAAAGGAAACCTTATGCATAAAAGCAAACACTGTCTTATGGAGAGGAGCCCCTAACGCTATTCTTTTTTTTCCAAATGGGGAAGTAGTGTTAAATAAAGCACTAAGAAGAGCAAGTAGTTCATGATCTAGAAACTCCTAGTATGATCTGCAATCAGTTCTTCATTTCATTGAATTTTAGCTATTGGAGATCTCATCTTCCTCAATATCACTGTAGATGCCCCTGGGGACCCAAGCTGCTTCCCAGGTTCTTATTGGGTCCCACCCTTATCCCAAGAATTCCAAGTCCTTCTCAATGTGATTAAAACTTGTCCATTAGAGCATTAATACTAAAAATTATTTTTAAAAAATGGTAATGGTTTTCCCATATAATTTTTATATCATATAGTTTTTAAATTTGATATTTGCATTTATTTCTATAAAGTCTGTGAGTGAGGCTATTCTTAAGAACATGAACCTATATGATAACATGGTCTCTAAGAGATAAATCAGAAGCTACTTGAAACATTTGGTAGTACAGAGATTATGGTAGGCAGAATAGTGAACCCTCAAAGATGTCCACGTCCTAATTCCTGGAATCTGTGACTATGTTGTCTTACAAAGCAAAAGGGACTTTGCTAAAGTGATTTAATTAAGGATATAAAGATGGGGAGATTTTCCTGTATTACCTGGGTGGGCCGAACGTAATCACAAATGTTCTTATATGAGGGAAACAGGCAATCAGAGAAGCAAGAGAAAGCTAAGCTGCTGGCTTGGAAGACAAAGAAAGGGGCCATAAGCCAAGGAATGTATGTGGCTTTTAGAAGCTGGAAAAGGCAAGGAAGCTGGTTCTCCCCTACCTCAAGTTTCTGGAAAGAACACAAACCTGCCAATACCTTGAATTTAGACTTCTGACCTCCAGAACTGTGACATAATAAATGTGTATTGGTTTAGCCACTATTGTGATAATCTGTTACAACTTCCATAGGAAACTAATGCAGAAACATTTATAATAATGTAAGCCTGACTATTGTCTAATATACATACATACCATTGCCAACAGATTTTTTAGGAATCATATCAGTAACTCATATGTACCTGGGTCTTTCCCTTTGAAATTTTTTCCTTCTCCCTATCATTTTTCCTCCTCTCTACCATTTTCCCATCCCCTTCTGCTTCTCACTATGTATACTTCTTCTAGTGTTTCAGGTCTCAATTAAATAGTGATCTCCTCAAAAAGAACTTCTGAAACTAAACACCCCCATCCCATTCCTGCCAGTTTAAATTGGGCTCCCTGATGTTTTTCTCTCTCATAGTACCCTGATAACATTTTTAAATTAGATATTTATTTGAATGATTGTTTTATTTGTTTATCTGTTTTATTTGTTTATCTCCCCATTATTGCAAGTTTGGTGAGTACAAGAATCATATTTGGTTTTGCTCACTATTGTGAACAAAACATAGTAAGTATCCAAGAAATATTTCTTGGCTGAATGAAAACATTCCAGAATTCTGCATGTCTTGTAAGATGGGTTAAGTCATGCCCTATAATGAGGTCCATCTGGAAACATGAGGCGATAAACTAACACACCACCTTCTCTTTCAGAGGACATGAGACAGGCTTTGCATTCTTTCATTTCCTCTGAAGTCTTAGTCAACATAATTATTATTCATCCAGGTGACAATTGATGGATGTTTTTCATGATGCATATGTTAATCTAAGAAATATAATATTTCTCAAAAATTCTCTTTGCATAACATTTGGAATGCTTTTTACTGCTTTAATTTTCATTTTCATTTTATTGTTTTCCAATATAAATTGTAAATTTCTTCAATAATTTTTAACCATCCATTTGAGAACTCCAGAGGAATCAAATTTGCAAAAGATAACTGCAGCTCTTGGCTTCTAAAGTTATCAGAAGCCTCTAATAAAACATGTTTCAATGTTTCTGGAACTTCTTTCATCACACTATAATATAGGTGATACCTTCATGTGTTTACTGACAAGGAAGTGAAGGAAGTAAGAATATCACACACATCCACTCCCAGTCACCTCTGAAATGCCAAGATCAGTTATTCTTGCTTAGCAACTTCTTCAGGCAGTAAAGCCAGATATGCTTTTTGGCATACCTGGCGAGTTCAGGGTAAATGCTTCATAGATATGTATTTGAACAATCAGTGATTCTCAGATAAAATAATGTGTACACCAACAGCAGAGTACATAAATAGCTGTTCAGAAACTGAGTCAGATTCCACTTAATGCTCTTTTATTTGTGCATACCGAGTCAAAAAGGGAAAATAAAACCCTCTTTTTAGATTATTACCCTGTGTTTCGTTAGCCTTTTTTTAAAAAAAAAATACTAAGCAAGCAACCAATGGCCCTTAAAATTAGAATTTCTACCATTGCTGCCATTTTTTACTTAGGATGAAATATTCTTAAAGATAGTGGATGCCAAGAAAACAAATAACAATATAAGTACACAGGGACAGTTAACAAAAAATAACGGATGCGGTGAATAAGACAGTCAGTAACTTCTCCAATTTGAGGTCGTTTAAAACAGGTTGATTCTTTCATGATGCTAAACTCCCTAGGTGATAAATGAAAAAGCTAATCCAGAAATTATTTTTCAGTTTTAGGTCTTCAAGATATATAATAACCAACTTGTTGGATTTTTTTTTTTTTACTGAATTTGTTTGAATTGTCTTTAGACACAACAATGAAACTCAACATGTCTACTTGTAAGCTGAAAAATACCCAGAAAGCCTTTTTATTTTCTTAACAAAATAGCATGATATTATTTAGAAGTTGGAGCAAAAGCTTTTAACTGCTCGGCCTGTAAAAGGAAACAGCACAACTCAGCAGAGTAGCTGACAAGTGACACAAATACAGTACATGCTAATGTGCAGAGAGAAACAACCTTGAGAATTTAAACCGGCTGCACCAGAAAAAATATCTTTATCCAGATATGTGGTCCCTCATGAATTATACTATTATTTCAGTTGATTTTACCTGACATCACCCTATGATTTTCTTCAGTGACAAGAAAATTGCAGCCGGCCCTTGACAGTCGGTCACAAATTGACTGAACAAAACAAAATCAAACAGTGAAGTAATCCCCAAGTAAATTTAATGAAACCTAAATCCCAAAGGGCAGCACACTTCTGTAGGCAATGGTCTTATTTAATAAATTTTTCCCTGCTTTCACTTTTAGAGCTATATTTACACAGACAAATTTAATTCATTGGGTTTACATTTCCTCTTCCCCTTAGTTTGTCCACCAGGCACATATGGGAAGGACTGTAAACAGCTATGTCAATGTTCAGCTGAGAATGAGGACTGTCACCCAGTCACAGGGAGATGTACCTGTCTGCCTGGCTGCCATGGAAACTGCTGTCATCTCCGTAAGTGTGTTCCCCATTTTAGTCGTTATTTATTGAGGAGACGCCGATAAGCTGGTCATCACTCCAAATGCTAAAGGGCAAATGTCAATTCAAGCTTCTAATCTATAGCAAATCTTATGGGAATTTTTATTGGAATGGTTGAAAATATATACTTTCATGTGTAACTTATTTTATTTTTTATTTTCTATTCAAAAGAGCCCTCCCCAAAATAAACAAGAAGTAGATAAAGAGAGAGCTATAAAAGAAGAAAATTTGAAATGATTATTATAAATCAATATAGAACAAATAGCAACATATTAAAGTGATTCATAAAGTAAGTTCCAGATTCTGCTTAAGAACAATCAAATTAAACAAATTGTTATTCTAGAATGAAAACAATGACTTGCTTAAAGGATAAAATGCCAGTTGGCTCATTGTTGTGTAATAAAAAAAAGAATAGTCCCTAGACCAAACACCTTATATTGATCTGTTAGGACATTTTAACATCGAAAATTGTTATAGGAGAACACACAATCAAAAGTCCCAAAGAGCATGTTAAAATGTTCAGTCAGCTACTTAATTTTTAAGCTTGTAATTATTTGTAATGTACTTTTTATAGGTTTAAGAATAAAATGATTTGGCCTCAGTTTTATTTTTCCCCCAACTTGGCCATTGCTAGTCTTTTTTCTCTAGTTGCTCCAATAGCAGATTCTTTCTACTTTCCTTCCTTAATTCTGCAAGTATATAGATGATTTTTGGAATTTCCTCCAAACACCACCTATAAAACCTAGACTCATGGTAAAGCTATTGATTTTAATTTTCTACAAGCCACAGAATGTATATCTTGAATATCACTTCTCTTTTTCATCCTAATTTTAAACATTACCAGCTAAAAACACAATTAAGTGTGTATAAAATGGTTTCAATTAATATTGCGTTTGGAACCCATAACCACTGCAGTTATTCAAACTTAAAATGAAGACGTAAAATATAAAATTAGTAAAATTTTCATTACTTTTTTAGTTATGGCAAGTTTCAAGCACCCTTATACTGGAGAAAGAAGTAGTTCCTTCACATTTGATTCTGTTACATTTCTTAGAAAGAATTCCTTCTAGATATCAAGGATATTTTATATTAATAAAATAATATCAAATTACATATAGCTGGTAGTCCTTCTGTTTCCGAAGGCCAGCTACCCTGCATTGAAGGAGGATAGCTTCGCCTTATAAAAGCAAGGCTCGGGCAGGGAGCTGCTCCCTGACTAGTCAGATTGGCTTAGTTCCAGGCAACACGTGGTTGGAAGTTGCTGCAAAGGTTCCTTGGCAACATCTACTATAATTACAGGACTATGAAAAAAGGTTCAAGAAAATATCCATAAAAGGTGTAGCTGGCTCAAAAGCAAAAGTTTCAGCAGCCAAAAACAATTGGGCTTTCATGTTCTCAAGTTTAGAGTGTAGAATCAAAATTTTCTCTCGGCAGAGGTCAGAGGAAGCAGACAAATGTGCAGTAGGAATCTCACCACTTGTACATAATTTATAATGGGCAGGTCAGTCTCAGTGTATGGATAGCACATGGGGAAAACAAACTGACCAGTAGATGTAAACTCATCATGCTGTGTATTTTTTGACCAATAAGAAATTCTAAATTGACTACGGACCCTGGAAATATTTCATTTCTCTAACCTGCAATACTCACTATTTATAATGACTCTCTTTGAGAGAATTTAAGATATTGAGATCCTCTAAAACCATGGACGATTCTGTTGACAATATTCATAAAACACCCGACATTTGGTATAAAATACTTTGAGAAACATGAGCCACAGAGGATCTCACCTGTGCCAGGAGGAAGATATTAAGATGTTGAAAGAATCCTGGCTCTAATGCTCTTGCTCATAGCAATAAAAATTCAGACAGACCAAATCTTAATATCTCTTTTAAGTACAAAATAAAACTGCATAATAATGGCCAGTGTATGTGTGAGTAATCTGGTCAAATACTAGGGAAACAGACCCCATAAAAAGCAGATTTATGCATTGCATTTGCTTCAGAGCTACATATCTCAGGATACAGTCACAACGTTGCTTGTTCTCAGTTTCTAATGTAACTACCAAAGCCATTCACATCATCGTAGTGAACAGTAGCCTTTAGTATTTAAACAAATCAGAACTGTGAGTTCATATCCAAACTTATTCCTTGTCAGGCTCTTTCGAGGAGAGGCGATGGTGCAAGGATGGGAAAAAATAGTTGCCTTCTAATGGAAAATAACTAAACATCTCTTGCCAGAGAGACAAAAGTTCCTGGGAGAAGTAATTTTAAAGGGTAGAGCAAAGGCCAAGTAATGATCAAAATGGAACATTAGGAAATGAGGGCGGGAAGACTGAATTTCACTCAGACCAGCCAAATGAAATCATTATGTCCTGGACGTGTGTTTCCTTGTTAAATTTAGCGAATGTTTGAACAAGAGATATGTGCATTGTTCCAGAAGTCAAGCTTTTACATAGCTACAGAATTATATAAGAAAATGGAATTGTCCATAAAATAACGTATTAGGGGGAAAAAGTTATGGGCACTTCTGTAAACAAATACCATACTTGATATAAATTTAATGTGTTACAAGACTAAGAGATTAGCACATATACTGTCTTTTAAAGATGGTGTACTCATTGGCAGGTTAATTTCATCAATTTCAGTGTCCCTATTTCAAAAAGATAACTAAGTTGATAGCTAAAATGCAGATAATTTTTTTATATATACAAAAAAAGAACAATGAGGGATGATTCTATCAAATGCAAAAACACCATTAAAATAGTTTGCTAAGTGAATATACATCAGGGAGAAATTATGTTTCCGAAATAACTTCAACTGACATAAAAGGGATCTCAAAATATGGGCCTTTATATATATATATAAAATTTAAATTTGTCAAATAATTACACATAAGCTCCTTTCAACTGAGATGCTGATTCTTTGATACCCATAATTATATTCACAGGATAACATGTTCCTCATTATTAAGTTCGGAAGTTTCACTTTATCAAGTATTGCTCTTTACTTGCACAGAAATCCATATCACCTTTCAGTTCACAGCTATGTAATTCCAGAATTTTCTATACCAATCAACTCTTATAAACTTAACCTCCTTTGTGGAAGCAAGCAGTATACACTAGACTACAATGTTTTAAACTCCATACTTTCAGCTTGCTTTATGTATAGTTACTCTAATATCAAGCAACCAATCATTTTTTAAAACATTGTACATACTAATGATAAAATAACTATAAAAATTTACATTCTAAAAGACTGACTCAGATGCACATTAAAAAATGTTTATCATGGTGAACAGGAGAGGATGAGGAGATGGAGACTCCTTTTTAACCATTAATTTTGTTTGTAGGTACACTTTATTGAATTTTTGTGAGGGAGAAAAAGAACTTTTGGGGAGGACTAAAGAATGCCATGTACCAAAAAAAAAAAAAAAAGGTCAATCAGCTATGAAAACTGACATTCCTTGGAAAGAGGGAATGATAGAAGAGAGTGTGAAATAAATCCATCATTTCTCGTAGAAAGGAATAAAGAAATACAATAGCTATAACAGAGAAATAATCTTTGGTATGAATAGTTTTAAAGTGTTTTGCTTTCCATCTCCATCATGGAGAATTTTATTTTAAAACCAGAAGAGAGGGGAGAAAAGAAGCAGCAACTCTTTGAGACTCAAGGTGACAACCACTGGTTTTAGGACAGATGTATATGGGAATTATAAGCAATTTGAATCTCAATAAAACCATTTTTTTCTTCTACCTTTAAAACCTGCTACATGTGAAATGCTTTAAAAAGTATTCTTTACCATCTGATTCTTACATAAAAATACAAGATAAAAGGGAAAGAAGAAAGTGTCATCTTGTCTAGTTTAGTCTCTTTCAGAGCTGTGCTTCCAAGTGAAAAGATTTTCCAAGAGAAAGGACCTAAGGCAAATATCAAATATTTTGATGCAGGTCAAGCAGGTAAGAACAAGGTAATGCTATGTGCCCACCAAGGGTCTTGCCACCATTAATGAAAATAATAGCTACCATTGACAGGAGATATCTGGGTTTAGCAATGCGCTAGGTACTCTACTTTTTCACATTAGCTCCCGTAACAGGCCTGTGATTTTGTTATAATCTCCTTTGGGAATAAAGAACCATAAACTGAAAGAAAGAACTTACTCATCCATAATACAAGTAAGTAGAAGCTATAGGGTTCAAATCATAGTCTATTCAAATTTAGCTACAGCATTGTATTTTAAATATATGACAAGAATAAAAATAGTTATCTTTAACCAGTGAGAGAATTTTGTGCAATAAATATTTCAAGTCACTTCACTCTGTAGGCCTTAACTTCTTCATCTTAAAAATAAGTGTTGAACCAGATAGACCTGAAGTCTCTTGAAACTCAAACTTCTATGATTTTAAGACTTTAAAGTTTTCCTTAAAGGCTATACCAACTGACATTCCCACCAGCAGTGTACAAGAGTTCGCTTTTCTCTGCATCCTCTCCAACATTTGTTATTTCTTGTCTTCTTGATAATAACCATTCTAACAGGAGTGAAGAGGTATCCCATTGTGGTTTTGATCTGCATTTTCCTTATCGCTGAGCATCTTTTCATATATCTTTTGGCCCTCTGTATGTCTTCTTGGAGAAAATGTCTGTTCATGTCTTCTGCTTATGTTTTAATTTGATTGTTCTCCTGGCTAAACCTTCAATTTTTCAATCATTGCATAGATAATGTGGTTTTCAGCTCATTCTTTGTCCCATACAGTCTCCCTTTATCTTGTAGTTTAGCCATTTATCTATCTCTATCACAGATATCATCATGTAGGCCATGCATTAATGAATATAAGAGCAGAAAATTAAGAAAATAACAGAAAATAGAGACACTTCCTCACTGCTTGGTGCCATCTTGAATTCTCACTTGTATTAAGCCCAGATCATTCCACAGAATACAAACCATAACACTTATGTATTAATCAAAATGATAAATGTATCTAGGCTGGAATGAAATGGCCTTCTTTGGTGAATTGTTCCCTATTCTGAGTATTTTCTAAGAGTGGATAGATTTCAAAGGAAGTTCAAAGTTAAGTTTCTTGTATCTCATTAATGAGGAACATTAGGAACTTTATGTCCCCATCTGTATTTCTAAAGCATCTATCTATATCCACAGATAAGTCCATCCCTTGAATCAATAGCCTGAAGGTGATTGAAAATACTACCAAAGAACAGTAAGTGGAACATTGAGTTAACCACACATCTATGAGCATGAATTTAAATACTGATTGCTTGAAGTTACAGTACCACATATGATTTTGTTCTCCTTCAACAGAATGCCCAAAAGGCACTTATGGCCCATATTGCCAAAAGACTTGTAAGTGCCTAAATGGCGGCAACCGTGACACCATGATTGGCACCTGTGACTGCCTTCCCGGTTTCATTGGGGCCGACTGCAGTCAAAGTAAGTCACACTATCTATTATGAAGTGGATATGCTAAAGCAGAATTTTTTAAGAACCACATTTAGGGAGTGAATATTGTTGAGATTATTTTACTTAATAATTTACTGCAGTAACAGTAAACATCAGTTGGCCTAAATTCTAGGTTGAGGAGTACTTATATCAGGAGTTTGATTGAGAGTTGAAGTCAGTGAACACAGCCGAAGAGAGACCTTTGGTCATAACTTCTCTTGCCCCAGCAATGCTGGACTTGGGTCAAGATTTAAAAATCTATTTAGCAAGATCAGAGCAGACTGGGGATTCCCTGTACACTATGTCAAACTCATTCTTTAAAGTTCCACAATTTCGTTTATCCTCAGCAATTTTCCAGCTAAATATTAAGCAGTTCCCCTACTTATCCAGAAATAACCAGTTTCTTAAAATCCAAAGACCTTAACTACTTATCACAAAAACAACTACTGACATAGTTTAAGGGACCGATTGTGAATTAAAGATCCCTTAAAAATGCACTGGCTTAAACACTTTGGAGTTATCCTTAGCAAGTAGGATTTACTTTTATCAGATCTGCAGAGTTCTAAATATTTGAATAATTTGCAAGATGGAGATGACCTTCAGGGAGGATAAAGGAGGCAATCGGTAGGAGAGCGTGTGGTGGGGAGGTGGTCCTGGCAATATTGTATTCTTTGACATATGTGCTATTGATAAGGTTGTTCACTTTATGATCCTTTACTGAGCTGCACATTTGTGTTTTTTGCCCTATTCTCTGTCTTGTACTTCACAATTAAATAGTAAAAGAACAGTAAAATTAAATAGTAAAAGTACTGTGATTGTGAACTTAAGATTTCTTCATTAGGAAGAATGATAACGAAGTAGTGATAAGGCAGAGTGCTAAGTTGTTTGGTGTTTTGTTGTTGTTGTTGCTGCTGTTTTGTTTGTTTTGTTTGTTTGTTTTTAGATAAATACTCGGAAGTGGAATTGCTGGGTCATAGGGTAGTTCTATTTTTAATTTTATATATGTACCCCTATGTTCACTGTAGCATTATTTACAATAGCCAAGGTATGGAAACAACCTAAATTCCTATGAATAGATGATTGGATAAAAAAAGATGTACATATATACAATGAAATAGTACTTGGCCATAAAAAAGAATGAAACCTTACCATTTACAACAATATGGATGGACCTAGAGGGTATTATGCTAAGTGAAATAAGTCAGACAGAGAAAGACAAATACTATATGATTTCACTTATATATGGAATCTAAAGAACAAAATAAATGAACAAACAGATCCATAGATGCAGAGAAAAAACTGATAGTTACCAAAAGGGAGAGGGGTTGGAAGACTGGGTGAAAAAGGTGAAGGGATTAAGAAATACAAATTAGTAGTTATAAAATAGTCATGGGGATGTAAAGGACTGATAGAGAAGGTAATAAATAATATTGTACTAACTATGTATGGTGCCAGGTGGATACTAGACTTATTTAGAGGATCACTTTATAAATTATATAAGTGCCTAGCCACTATGCTGTAAACCTGAAATGAAAATAATATTGACTGTTAATTATAATTTAAAATTAAAATTAAAAAAATAAGTTGTTATGTGCTAAAGATATTCAAAATGCTTATCTTCCCCAGGCAGGTAGTTGCTCTGTCTTCCTTGTATGAGGGTAATTTTAATTACTTTGCTTCAGTACCCTGCTGTTCTGAAGATAAAAGACGAATGAGACAAAGTCCTGGCTCCTAGTAGCGGAAAATTGAAACTTAGTGGATACTGCTTCTGAGGCCTCAACAGCCAAGTTATCTTTGAGTTAAAGCCAACCCATAAACATGTCCTAAAGGTTCTGACTGGCTCTTTTGTGTTTGTTCTTCAAAGAGAATCGTTGGGAGAAATTTCCTAATTTTCCCAGGCCAAAGCATCTTCAAAAGCTATGGCTTCCCTGAATATTGGGAATATTATTGCCTTCAGAAAGCTGTGATCTTGTACCTGAGCACTTTTCCTTTTTTATTTTCGTGGCTAGATAGGTCAGAGCCAAATCTGCAGCCCATCTCTTTCAAGTTCAAGGAATTATAATATTCATTTATGTATACATTTTACTATATTTTCCCTTCACTTGATTCTCACAGTATTTATTTTATCTTTTTGTGTTACCTGTAATTTGGTGAGCATCTCAATGAATTTGTGGAATGAGGTTGCAGCAAAACAAAAAAGCAAACTAATTGAGAAACGTGTTAACTTATTAATAAATTAATTTTTAATTAACATTAATTAACATAATTATTTCAATAAATACAATTCAACAGTTTTGTTGGTTTCTAATAAATAACAAATAAATTAGTAAACACAAAAGTATATACTTGAAGAAGTGAACATATTGGGTCTTATTTTGATATATGAAGTGTAAGCTAAAATTCTAGAGTGGACTTTAAGAGACAACATACTCAAGATTATCACACACACATACACACACATACACACATACACACACATACACACATACACACACACACACACACACACTAAGACAGCCATGAGGTAAAACAAGACTGAGTCTGTAAAAGTCATTTATATCATATATGTAAGTATTTGACACTAGATATTTGGTTGGAATTCTTGATGTCAACTAAAATTATACGAAGTAAGCAACAATTTGAATAGTTCCTTTTTGTGTTTTGTTTTGTTTTCAAAGAAACCTTTTAAGTTGAAATCCAAACTGAAGACAAGTCAGGAAAACCTATTTGATTAAAAGAAAAAGTCATATATTTACCAGTTTTTAAAAATCTTGACTGTCAAAAGGTTTTAATAAGAAAAATCTGATTTTGTTTTGCTCTGCTTTATTTTGCTCCTCTCTGCAGCTTGTCCTGAAGGTCACTATGGGCAGAACTGTGTCCAGCACTGTTCCTGTGGCTCAGGACAGTGTGACCCAATAACTGGAAGGTGCCAGTGTTCACCTGGTCAGATGGGAGCCAGGTGTCAGCAAGGTAACAATGACTGCAGGGTCAGCTTGTTGATCCAGGCATTAACTATGCTAAACTATGAAGGCAGATTTTGTGCCACAGAATATAATTACATAGGCATTGTTTACAATACTTGCTTCTTAAATGTGGCTTTAATAACATGAAACTACATTGTCCTGTACAGCTATGTAGGAAAGTTTTTTGGAGGCTAAACAAAAATTGAAAACAAAAAGAATAATTTCTGCATACTCTTGACTAGGATTAAATTTTAAAATAACTTTGGCTAGCTTTTGTAAAGCTGTGAAAAATTATGTATCGGAGATGTCTAATTATAAGAACTGAAGAGTTCTATAACTTTTTATACTTCGGGATGCCTACTGAAAACTGTAAGAAAAATAGGAGACAGAAAGTAAAACATGATCTCTTTATAACTTCAAACTTTCTTGTCTTAATCATAATATTTATTATTATCATAATAACAGATCTATCAAATCCAGTGAAATGTGGACATGTGGAGAGGGTGCTGAACCCCTACAGCTCTTGAGTGGGGCCAGCAGTGCAGCCACTTCTCCACGGCTCACACAGAGAGTTAAACCTAAGGAGCCTTTGTTGAAACACAAAGGTTGGGTGTGTGGTCAAGCTAACGGGGCTTCCTTGAATCCCCTGGACATTGTAGAGTGGCAGGAAGAGTAGGATAAAACTAAGAAGTGAACAAACTTATCATCTTTTCACCTCTATACTAGATAGAGGGGACTCTGTAGGCTATAAGCAGCCTTGTAGCTAAAAGGAGACTAAGCCTAAACACACACATACATACACATATACCCCAACTCTATGTCATATGGAGTTTTTCTCTAGGCCAAGGAGGCTTCTTACTAGTTGATGTCTAGCCCCAAATCCATACTACCCTTCCACAAATAGCCAAGCTATAAAAGATTAAGTTAATGAAAACAAAAAACAAAAAACTAAGCTATGCCTTAAGAAAAAAGCTCTCCTCATTTTGGAAACAAAATATGAAACCATTCAACAGAGAACAGAAAAGTTTTGTTATGGAGGACATGAAAATGTTAACCAAAATTTCTCCCCCAAATTCAAGGGACATAATGAAAAAAAATTTCCTGTATAAAATGTGAGTGCAACGAAATAAATGAAAACACAACAAAAGAAAATGAAAAATTGGTAGAGTTCAGAAAGAAGTGGAAAAGAAAATTAAACCTCACATCATATGAATGAAGGCCACACTGAACGCAGGTAATGTGGAAGGATGGAATCTTCTGATGGGACAGTCAGATACACAGAGAATATGCTTGAGGAGAGTGAAAACAATGAGACAGAAAAGAAAATATATAATAAAAAAGAAAAATGATCAAATATAGTATTCAAGCTGTTTTATCTGAAATGAAAGATCCAATGCTACATATTGAATGAATACATTCTATCCCTGGAAATACTTGTTTGGATTGATCATAGGCAAGGGGAAACTCCACTGGGAATATAAGAAAAAATATGAGATCTCACATGAAAGGTGGGGAATCAATCTGGCCTCGTACCTCTTAGCAATATTCATTGCTATCGTATGGTTAATCAATGTCTATGAGGTTTTGGGGAAAAAATATGACTAGAGTATTTTATACACAGTTAAACTGTTAAATATAACATGATGGAAAATAAACAACTCTTTTTAGTAATAAAAAGTTTCTGGAACTATAATAGCTATAAAATATTTTGAAGAAATGAATAAAAGATACATTCAGGCCACCAAGTAATAAATGGAAAATCTCTGTTAAGAAGACTATTAGTAAGCACTAAATCTATTTTAATTAAGAATAAGTTTAAAACGTATCTGGGGATTATGGTCACATGATAAAAGATAAATATAAAAATATTATAAATTATAACAATATTGAGACTTTAGCACAATTTTGACAAGCATAAGCTGGAAGGGAAGAGAAGGTGAAGGAGTATAAGTATATTGATTATTCTTCATTAATAATTGTGGGATGACAAGGATAGCTCTGTGTCGAAACATGTTTAAATATGACAACTCAGTAAATGTGTGTGATGGTAATTCTGGAATTTAGAATGCTATAATTGATAATTTAAGAATAAAAATATAGCCAACTAAAATCAGGTGGAGGAGAGAGATGAGTAAAATTAGCAGAAGGCATAGTGTCATTATGTACTAAATAAAGAAATTCATTATATTGTATAATATTATATGCATTCTCTAAAGATGATTCCCTAGATTCTATAAAATTACAAGACTTTCACTTAGAGAAAGGTAGAATATATACACTTTTCCTTATTCTTTCCTACAAACAGTAAAAATTCTAGAAACTATATAAAAACAAACATAAGAACCTCTGAAATATGGAGAGAAGGCAAACTTACTAGGGACAGTGGGAACCTAGGTAACACCATGATGGTGAGTTCTCTGGGTCTTTTTTGTCTAACATCTTTGACTGGGTGCAGAGAAGCCTGAAACCCAGAAAGGTCCATCAGTGCAGATAAAATAAGGCCCAAGATAAGCCTGTTTCCTCCAGTCAAAAGATCAGGAAAATGCTAGTCTAGCAAGATTTAAAAAAAAAACAAAAAACTCTTAGACAATAACCAGTTTACTCCTGTCAAATGCTACAAAATAAAACTGTGTCTTCAACCCCAAGCCCCCAGCAAAGGCCAACTAAGGAATCTATACTTCAAACTCCACCAGGATGTAATGAGGCATCCCTCCCCCTGCACCATAATGGAGTGAGAAAAGGCTTAGTTGAGCTGGGACTTTCATCCCTGCCAAATAGGAACAGGACCCTGCCCTGGCAGTGTCAGGGAAAAACATATGGAGAACATGAACTTCCCCCCCACCCACCAGATGATAAGGAGACATTACCTCTTTCTGGTAGGGCAGCATCACAGGAGGTCTAGTGGAGAGTCAGGACTTTCACAACCACCACGCAGCAATACTGACACCCTGTGCAGTGTCAGTAGCAGTGGAGTGGGGAGGCACCTCTGCCTCTCTGGTCAGCAAAAACCTAGTGGGGAGCCTGAGCTCTGACTGTGGCACAGCAGCGATGTGTCGCGTTTATCCCCCTTTCCCTTGAAGACTTTGTGGGGAACATGCACTTTAACTTCTATCTGGTGAACCTCTTTTCTCACCAGTGCAGTGTCACCAGAAACTTACTAAATCAGGAGACATAAATGAGATCCAGAGTCTCATATCATAATATTCAAAATGTCAAAATTTTATTCAAAAATTATTCATCATATCAACAACCAGGAAAACTTCAACTTGAATAAGAAAAATCAATTAAAAAACACCAATATTCAGATGACATTGATAACAAAATTATCTCATAAGAATTTTAAAGAAATCATCATAAAAATGCTTCAATGAGCAACTATGAACATGCTGGAAACAAAAGAAATAGGCTATGCAAAAAATAAGACATAAAGAAGATGTCTAGAACTGGAAAATACAATAACCAACAACAATCATGTCGATGGATGGGCTTAAAAGCAGAATGGAAAGTACAGAGGAGCACATCAATGACCTTGAAGATAAAATAATAGAACTTACCCAATCTAAACAACAGAAAGGGAAAAGAAAACAAATGACCAAAAAATTAACAAAGCCTGTGGAAAAGCCAAAGCCAAAGGACCTGCAGAACCATAGTAAAAGATCTAACATCAGAGTCTCAGAGGAGAGGCAAAAGAGGACAAGACTGAAGTAGTATTCAAAGAAATAACAGCTGAAAATTTCCTTAACATGACAAAAAAATATAAACCTACAGATTCAAGAAGCTGTGTGAATGCCAAAAAGGATAAACTGAAAGAAATACACAAAAGACAAACCAACATCAAACTTCTGAAAACTAAAAAAGAAAAAAAATCTTGAAAGCAGCAAGAGAGAAATACCTAACTTAGCTTAGGAAAAAAAATACTCTAAAATAAAATGAAGGTAAATAGATGGGTACAGATACATCAAGCACCTGTGAGCAAAAATAAAGCAATAGTCATGACATCAGTATCAAATACTGTTCATTTTATGGCAACAAACATCTAATGGGAAGGGCACTTATAATAAAGGGTAAAATTCACACTGGAAATTTAAATGTAATGAATATGTATAAAACAAATAACACAATATCAAAATTATAAAACAAAAGCCAATGCTAGAAAGAGAAATAGACAGCAAGAGCTTATCAGTAGATTAATTCATTTATATTAGCCCATACACATATAATTGTATATACATATAGCATAAAAATAATCTTATAGAAACTTGAAAATAATAAAGTATTTCCAATTGCTATAAACCAAACTCTGCACCTTGAAGAAGATACCATATCTTTTTTCCAAATATCCATGGGACATTCACAAAAATTGAAAAAGAAGGTCAAGCAATTCTGTAAGGTATAATTTATGATATTCTATGATCACAAAGCAATAAAGCAGGAACTAACAAAACTAACTCTCTTGCTGGGGGGAAGGGGTCTACTATATCACATGGGCATTTTGAAATTTCCTTCTTAAATAATCAATGGCTAAAAAAACCCCAATATTTCAGAAATTTAAAACAGCAATTAAGGACATCCACAACCTATAGGGTAAAGCTAATTCAGTAAACAAAGGAAAATGTATATTACGAAATACTTCTGTTAGTAAATAAGTGATGAAAATAAGTGAAAAAAATAAAGAACAATAAAAACAATAAATACATTTAAACTAAAAATGAGGAATTACTAAATTAAAACATAGGAAAAATATGAGTTATTTAATTTTATATGAAGTCAAATGACTAGCAATCTAGACAAAAATAAAGATGGATTTCTACTTTATTCACTAAAACTACTTCCAAGTGTATAAAGTACTTAAAGTAATGACAAAAATTATGACAGTACTAGAATTACCATTAGGACTTTTTAAAAATTTATTTTGGGAGACCATGTATAACTCTTGACAAAAACATAAAACCTATGAAAGAAAAAAGAGAAAAAAACATGATGTTTTGATTTAAATGAAATAAAAATCTTTTTCAAGGCACAGAACAAAAAAGTATCAAAAGATAGACAAACTGAAGAAGAAAGACAAAGCACCTATTTTCTTAATAAACAAAGAATTCTTCTTATAAATCAATAAGAAAAAATCCATGACAGTATACCTTATGAAAAGATGATAAGCATCATTCATAATGTGAGAAATCCAAATTAAAGTTGCAATTATATATCACTTTACTTATCACATTATTTATAATATAACAATTCGGCTAAAAATTGAAAAATGGGCACATTGATAATTCTCCTTATTAAATTGGTAATTTTGTAAGGAAATTTGATAATATTGTCATGATTTAGAAGCACATGTCTTTTTATTGAGAAAATCATCTGGGGACTTACCCTTCAGATATAATACTGTATATAAATACAGACCTTCATGAGGATATTTATTGCAGTGTTTATAGTAGCAAAATATTTTAAACAACCTACTTGTCCATCAATAATGGAGTGGTAAACAAAATTTTTGTTAGATGCAACAAATTCTATGCAGCTGTTAAAAAAGAATGAGGCAGGTCTATTATATGTACTAATTTAGAAAAATCAAAATATATTATTACAGAAGTAAGCAAATTTCACAATATTATCTATCTATGTTAACCTTTTGGATTAAAAAAGGGTTCATAGGTAAGATAGACATTCGTATACCTTATTAGGCATGGGGCATTTCTGGATCTGTTCAGTCATTTATCTATTCAATTCAACAAATATTTATTGAGCGCAATGCCAGTTTTAAGCATATGGAATGTATGGATAAAATCACAATATCCTAGTCCTCATGCAACTTGTTTTCTAGTTGAGAAAAGAGACAATAAATAATCAATTAATAAGTTAATTATATGTATGTTAATAAGGAATAAAATCTGCAGTAAGATAAAAAAATAGGGCATGGTATGGGGCTTCAGAGTGTTAGGTGGTTGAAATAGTTAAGCCAGTGGTCAGGGTAAGTCTCTTTGAAAGAACTGAGGTTTACAGTACAGAGAAAAAGATGGTATAATGATGTCTTTGACAAAGGAACCTGGAAGAGTGAAGCACAGAGATGGAACACTTTTCCATTTATATACTGTTTGAAATATTTATCATGTAATTATTGTTAACTTTAAAAAGCAATAAAGTTATATAAGTAATTCTGTGTGAATATTGTTCTAAGACTTAGATCTGTGGAAAGAATCTTTTCTAAGTCTATCTCACTTTACCAGTTATGTCTTTTGTCTTAAGTGTTATTTTGAAGTTCTGTGCTTTCACAGATTCACCAGTTTCATCAACGCATTTCAACATTCAGGTTGAAAGATGAACGGGCCTCCTGGCTGATGACGTTGTTTTAAAAGGGTGGAAGAGAAACACATGAAAGTTTATTTTAATAGTATAGGACTTGGTGTCGTTGATTTCGCTTAATTTGCTTTAAAGGAAAATACCAAAAAAGAATAATTGACAGTTAATTCAAAGTAGCCTATTTCACATCTGATGATAATCCAACCATTTGTTGTACAACTAAGACTGTTATTTAAATAAACAAAATTAATACCTTTCTTTCATTTGGTACTAAAGTGAAGTGTACTTATTCCTTCCAGTAAAGGCAAGGACGTGTCATACAGAATGAATTCAAATACATATTCTCTTATGTATTAACCAAATACTTTGGGGCAAGTAAAAAACCCCAAAACTTTCTAATGTCTCTCCTGCTAGCTGGAATAGAAAGAACGGTTGATAAGAAGTTAGATGTTTTAAATTTGAATATTGGTTTTTATCTCTACTGGCTGCTTAAGCCTAAGCAAGATCTAAGTCTCTGAGTGTCAGTTTTCTCAAGTATAAAATAAGAATACTGTACCCACATTAGAGGGATATTATATTTGTGAGTATAAAATGAGATAATTCATGTGGAAAATATCATTATGTAAAAATACTATATATTAGAGGGTATAAATGGCAGGCCCTTGGCCAAATCTAGCCACAAATGTGTTTGAGTTGGCTGACAGAGTTTTGGCTTCCACAGTGCTGTAAAAACAATTTTAATTAGTTGCCAACGTTTAAAGATTGGGTGATTTTATATAAAATATGAATTTTTAATTTTCCTGAAAAAAATTATACATCAAGCCCACATTCTTATGGCAAAACCAACTAAATGTGAGTAGTGTTTAGTCTTACTTTAGAAAGCCTTTGCTCTCCCATTGATGGCACTATCTGTCTTTCAATTATTTTCTCCCTGACAATGAAGGCTTAATTTTCCTTATGTCTGATCAGCTTCACTCACTTGTATCTTAACCTCTGTTGGCAGTGCATTTTTGTTTGTGTCACCCACCACTGTATGCTCAAGCGCTTTTCTGATTTCATCACAAAGACATTAAAGAACAAACTTTTCATCTGTCTTCTTTCTCAATTATGAAGCTAAATATATAAAAGGCTTTCACAGCTAATCTAGAATTGCACTCTGCTTGTTCACTCGGGCATCTCCAGGTCCCAGGCACATAATGATGGGTTCAATAAATATGGAGTGAATGAAAACATGAATGAATGACGTTATGTGCTTACTACCTTAAAGATACATCTGAGTATTTGTTTTAAGTTCAAGTCTTTCTTATGCTTTTGCTTTGTAGACATGATTATCTGAAGCAGAGAAAAATGTTTGCTTATATGACAGTTTTATTTAGTTTATATTTTTTATTTTTACTATAGGATGTCCCCAAACAAGGTATGGCCCAAATTGCGAGCTAAAATGTACCTGTAAAAATGGTGGCCTTTGCAACCCTGCGGACGGAAGTTTTACCTGTGGCCTTGGATGAACAGGAAATTATTATGAAGAAGGTAAGTTGATTATTACCTTCTTTCCCTCAATAAAAATTCAGAGCATGGTACTGTTGGTTGATACAATATGGTAAAGCCTCCAAAGACTAGTTTCCAATAAGTTCATGCAGGCTATTTATAATTATGATCGTATTTCCAATAAAAATGATGTTATGATAATACTGTTTGATTTTTGTTACCATGTTACCAAAATACCACATGAAAACTCTTAAAATTCTTAAGTATTTGAAAGTGTTCATCTGAAAGAGCACCTCTGAGATCTAAATCCACTCTCCTTCCAGCCGTTTTTTAAGCCTGAATCATTTGTGGATGCAAATCTGTTAAACCTTGAGTTCCTTGGCTGAGGCAGAAAGGTCTCAACAACCACTGAGGCCTTGAAGCAGGCCGGAGGCGGACGCTGGGCCCTGGGCAGAGCCAGCTCACATTAAGAGTGGGCCCAAGGGTAAAGAGGAGGATGCTGGGAGCAGGGGTCTCCAAACTTTATTTCATCAGGAAAAATTTAATTGTCTATAAATGCATTTTTACTCCTAAGTAACATTCATGTGTTTCTCAACTAATACATTGTGTATATTATAAAATATGTATAAAGCTTTAAATTGATAAAGAATGTATAAAGATAAATATTAATAGTTGTTCTAATGTTTTCTGTCCGAACCACAATTGATTATTCTGTGAAACACTGGAGAGCATGCACCCTACTCAGAGCACACTCTGGTAGAGTGTAGGTGAGAACACTGCTGGGGCCTTATACTTGCAGCCCCCTGAGTAAAAAAAAAACACTGAACTTTTACCTGGATGGTTTCAGCTATGGGGCTATGGCTCGTTAGACCTGCAGCCCTGACAAACTGTCACAATGGATATGAATTTTCTAATATTGAATAACCTTACATTCTTGGAATAAGTACTACTTGGACATGATACATTACTTTATAATACACTGTTGGTTTCTGTGCACTTATAATTTTTATAAATTTGGTATCGATATTCATAAATTAAATTGAGCTATCCTTTTTCATGAATTTTTTTTCAAATTTCGGAATTGATGTTATACTCACTTAATATAATGCATTTAAAGTCTTCCTTCCTTTCCAATGTTCTGTAATAGTATAAGTAGTAGGGTGATGATCTGATCTGCAAAGGTTTGTAGAATTTTCCCGTGAAATCTAGGACGGGTGAGATATATATATTTTTTAATTCAGTAGCTATTTTACTATTTTCTTTATTGTTTTTCTATTATAATTAGCCTGTCAAGGCTTTCTGCCTCAAATTAAGATAATTTTGGTAAGTTATCTTCCATAACTTTTCCATTTCATTTAGGTTTCTGTATTTTTTGTCTTATACTTTATATTTTTATTCCTTTTGATAATCATTTCAGATTTTTAAAACATCGTGTGTATTTGTGCTTTATCTTGATTAAGTTAGCCAATCATTCATCTACTTTTTATTTTTTTATTAATTCTACTTTTTTTTTTCTGACTTCAAATTCATTACAAATTTGATTGTCTTAACTAGAACTAATGCCTGGGTGGTTTCTTTTCAGAATGTTCCCCTGGGTACTATGGCCCAGGCTGCCATTTTAATTGTACTTGTGAGAACAGTGGATTTTGCAGCAGGTTTTCTGGAAGCTGCGAGTGCCTCCAGGGGTACTATGGAAGAGACTGTGAACACAGTAAACAGAAAATGAGTGGACATATTATGGTGTTAATAAATGTTAAGCTTTAAAACCTATTTTTTAAATAATAAAGGTAATACCTTCACATTATATTAAATTAGATAAATGGTTAAAGCTCTAATGTATATTCTTGCAATGTATTTCATAGCTCTATTTTAAGTTCTAGGTGTTGACCACTGCCATTATTAAGTTGTTTATTCTTTCCGGAACTACTGTTTGAAAAAATGACTGTGAACCTGTGATCATCTGGAGAAGACTCAGGTAGACACACCAAGAAGAGCCAGCTGCTGGTCTTTTTGAACAAAATCATTCTACTTCCTCTGACTGCCTTTAAACAAAATATAGACAAGGAAGCTACTTTATTTCATGTAATCTAGACTTAACACTGAAAGATCTTCAAGTTCTCTTTAAATATGTTTATCTAAATCACTTCTTCTTTTGGACATCATTTGGACTTCATTTTCACCTAAAATTAGGAAATGGGAGAATTATAAAAAAATTTGTCCTAGATGTCAGGAAGCTCTGATGGACAATACAGTTTTAAGATAGCTTAGGCTCAAGAGTTATATATGGCTTAGCTCTGCCACATAAAAAATTATAAAAGATAAACTATTAACGTTTAGGTTTCACCATCTGCAGAATGGGATTAATAACACTTATTTTAAAAGGTTATCATGAGGATTAAATAAGAAGTTACATGTAAGCGTTTAGTACTAAGGCATGTGGCAAAAACCAGACTAACAGTGACTGTTTAGAAGAATTTTTTAAAGCCTCCGAAGTGATATTAACAATGTTGAAAATTGTTTCGTGTTTTTCAGCTTGTTTTTAGCATTTGTCAAACATATTTCACAGGAACAAATTTTACTAAGCCTTTTGAAGTTTAGAACTTTTGCCAAACTTTCTAAGGTTTCCTGGGTTCAGGGAGTACCAAAACAAACATCTCATGGCTTTTATTTGTTTATTTGTTTATTTTGTTTTGTTTTCAAAATTGGAATACGGGATAAAAAAGAGTAAAAGAAGTATCTATTCAAGGCTCATAAATTTCATATTATATACATCCTTCATTCTACATACCCTACATACTAGGTATCAAGGAAGATTTTGAGCAAACAAGAGATAATATTCTAGTGAAATAAATCTGTAAAGTGGGTACATCATTGATTATTAGGAAAAGGAGTCATCAGTAGTGTCTACAGCATATAGAAGCTGTAGTGATAGGTTAGAATTTTAAAAATCTGGCCTTGGATTAAAAATGTAAATGAATGAGCAGAATATTTTGGAAGAACAATTGACGGTATTTGGCATTTAATTTGGGCACAGAGGTGACAAAAATCAAGGAATCAAAGACGGCTCTAAAGTTCCAAGCCAGGGAACCTGGAAAAATTGTAGTATTATTTAGAGAAATGGAAAAGTCGAGCAAGACCACCCTTATGAGCTCAGTTTTATATATAATTAAAATACATGAGATAAAAGAGATTTGATTTTTCTATGTATTCTGAATAACAATCATATAAGAACAAACAGAAGAAACTCTGCACTGGATCTGTTTTTGTTATTCATTCTTAAAGAGTTATAATAAAATTAAAAATCAAAAAGTATATATTATAAAAAATAATTCATTCCTTATCTCTTTTTGGTTTTACCTTCTTTTTCTGCTCTCTGAATGTGAGTTTTTCCAAATGTTGAGTCTGTCCTGATAACTCCATGCATCCTGGAGGAGTGTCATACACAAGAAGCCTAGGCAAATTCAACTCTAGGTGCCTAGGAAGAGGGGTGGGGGCAACACAGAGAAAGAAAGAAAGGAGAGAAAGTGAGAGAGC